TGGGGAAAATGTCTCCAGAGCATTTTAGAGACCTTCAAGGCAGTCCCTCCCATTACAGGCCTGGAGACCTAGGAGGGAAAAATGGTTTCCTGGGTGGGGTCCAGGGCCCTGCTTCTCTATGCAGCCTTAGGACATGGTGCCCGGCATCCCAGCTGCTCCAGCTCCAGCTGTGGCTAAAAGGGGACAAGGTACAGCTTGGGCCATTGCTTCAGAAGGTGCAAGCCCCAAGCCTTGGTGGCTTCCACATGGTGCTGGGCTTGTGCATATGCAGAAGACAAGAGCTGAGCTTTGGAACCCTCTACCTAGGTTTCAGAGAATGTATGGAAATGCATGGATGTCTAGCAGAAGTCTGCTGCAGGGGCAGAGCCCTCATGGAGAACTTCTACTAGGACAACACGGAGTGGAAATGTGAGGTTGTAGTTCCCACAGAGTTCCTGCTGGGGCACTGCCTATTGGAGCTGTAAGAGGACTGGCCTGCTGCAGTGGCTCATGCCTGTATTCCCAGCACTTCAGGAGGCTGAGGCGGGCAGATCACCTGAGGTCAGGAGTTTCAGACCAGCCTGGCCAACATGGCAAAACCACAGCTCTACTAAAAATAGAAAAATTTGCTGGGCATGGTGGTGGGCACCTGTAATCCCAGCTACTCTAGACGCTGAGGCAGGGAGAATTGTTTGAACCTGGGAGGTAAAGGTTGCAGTGAGCGGAGATCACGTCATTGCCTGGGCGATAGAGCGAGACTCCATCTCAAAAAAAAAGAGTCACTATCCTCCAGATCTCAAAAAAAAAGAGTCACTATCCTCCAGATCCATGGAGAAGCTGCAGGCACTCAATGCCAGCCTGAGAAAGCAGTTCTAGGGGCTGTACCCTGTGGAACCACAGGGGCAGAATTGCCCAAGGACTTGGGAGCCAACCCCTTGCATCACTGTGCCCTGGATGTGAGACATGGAGTCAAAGGAGATTATTTTGGAGCTTTAAGATTTAACGAGTGCCCTGCTGGGTTTTGGACTTGCATGGTGCCTGTGGAGCCCCTTTGTTTTGGCCAATTTCTACCATTTGGAACAGGAACATTTACCCAATGCCTGTACCCCCAGTATATCTTGGAAGTAACTACTTGCTTTTGATTTTACAGGCTCATAGGCAGAAGGGACTTGCTGTCTCAGACTTTGTACTCGCACTTTTGAGTTAATGCTGGGATGAGTTAAGACTCTGGGGGACTGTTGGGAAGGCATGATTGGTTTTGAAACGTGAAAAAGACACGAGATTTGAGAGAGGCCAGGGGTGGAATGATGTGGTGTGCCTCTGTGTCCCTATCCAAATCTCATCTTGAATTGTAATCCCCATGTGTCAAGGGCCTGGTGGGAGGTGACTGGACCATGGGGGTAGTTTCCCCCATGTAGTTCTAGTGATAGCGAGTTCTCATGAGATCTGATGGTTTAAAACTGTTTGGCAGTTCCTCCCACCTCTATCCGCCATGTAAGATGTGCCTTGCTTCCCCTTTGCCTTCCACCATGATTGTAAGTTCCCTGAGGCCTCCCTAACCATATGGAACTGTGAGTCAGTTAAACCTCTTTTGTTTATAAGTTGCCCAGTCTCACGTAGTTTCTGTCTTTTTAATTTTTATTTATTTATTTATTTTTGAGATGGAATCTTGCTGTGTCACCCAGGCTGGAGTGCAGTGGCATGATCTTGGCTTACTGCAACCTCCGCCTCCTGGGTTCAAGCAATTCTCCTGCCTCAGCCTCCCGAGTAGTTGGGATTACAGGCACCCACCACCACGCCCAGCTAATTTTTGTATTTTTAGTAGAGATGGGGTTTCACTATGTTGGTCAAGCTGGTCTTGAACTCCTGACCTCAGGTGATCTGCCTGCCTCGGCCTCCTAAAGTGGGTAGTTTCTTTACTGCACAGTGAAAATGGACTAATACACAGGGAAAAGAATTAGATGACTTTAAAACACAATATTTTGACCATTCTTAATAGGATATATTATGTAGACAAAAAGAATGCAATAAAATATTAAACTGCATTCAGTAATTAGTCTTGTTGGTAGTAGTAACATTGGTATTGTATCGTGAAACTATTGTAATTATTTTTTAGAATATAGCAGATAAGTAATTATGTAAATGTCATTAGGAAACAAAATGTTCATTACAGGTTGAGCATCCCTAATCCGGAAATTCAAAATCCAAAATGCTCCAAAATCTGGATCTTTTTGAGGTCAACATGACATCTCAAGTGGAAGATTCTACCTCTAACCTCATATGATGGGTTGTAATAAAAACACAGGCAAAACGGCTTCATGTGCAAAATTATTGAAAATATTGAATAAAATTACCTTCAGGTTTTGTGTGTAAGGTGTATATGAAACATAAATGAATTCTGTGTTTAGATTTGGGTCGCATCCCCAAGATATTGCTTTATGTATGTGCAAATATTCCAAAATCTGAAAATATCTGAAACACGTCTGGTTCCAAGCATTTTGGATAAATGCTTCTCAACCTAAGAAAAAAAAATTACAAATATAAAATCAAAGAAACTAAGTTGAAACTCTGTAATCTTAAATTTGAATTGGAAGTATCAGTATGAATTCAAGATTTTTTTCTCTTGAAAAAATTATCGATTTCCCAGCTCTATTAGAAAGACTTAGAAGTAATGCCCCGTGGCAATGAGTACTCCTGATTATGGTTTCTGACTGCCATTTCCTACTTAAAGGAACTGAGGCTCTTTGGAGGAATGACTGATTCCATGTCGGGGCAGGAAATGTACAAAATAAGTTTGGGCCATTTTGTGCCAGAAAGCAAGAAAACTATCAAAGATTAATGTGACCACATCTACAATATATAGGAACCAACTCAAATAATTTCTCACTGGCCAAAAGTGGGACAATTTGAGCATCAAAAAGAATAATTAATGCACTTCAATTATGTGAAAAATACATATATTTACGATAATTTTTTTAAAAAGATCATTAGAAGTTGCTAGGGCACTAACTCATTATTTTGAAAATGGATAAATGAAAAGAAACAAATGTGGACCCTATCTTTCATCTTCAAACTATATTTCAGGATAACCAAAGAGTTAATGAAAAATGTTATGGTAGAATGCCAGCTAATAAATCTAGGAGGAATGTTAGAATTAGAAATTCATTATTTTGCAACCTCTAATGAAATACTGGATTGAGTCACAATTAATGGATGCTAAAATAATCAGGTGATGGTTGATGAAAAATGTAATGTAGGAATCAGGTTGACACCATCTCAACCCATGAGGAATATTTCACCATAAAACGGAACTATCAGCCATATGTGCCTCATGATGTGATGTAAGAGGAAGTACACAGCAACTACCACGAAGTATGCTTACCTAAAATATAGAACCTCAATCTAATAAAAATCCTAGATCTGACTACCTATTTGCAGAAATAGGAGTAATATCACAAGGAAGTAATCAGCTAAATCTAGAATATGGGACATTCAGTAGTACAAATGGCCTGGTTTCTACAGTAAACCTATGGCATGAAGGGTGAGGTGCTGGTAAAATTGAGTAAAAGGGACTTAAGAAATATGACAATTTGTGATGGTATTAGGTGGGGTGGGGTGGGGGAAGAAACAACTAAGTACAATATATGGACTTGTTTGGATCTTGAATAAAGCAACTGTAAACAGAATCTTTGATATAATCGAAAAAAATGCAATACTTAGGGGGTGATGGATAGTATTGAGATTTTTCTTAATTTTGTGTGATAATGGCATGGTGGATACAATTTTTGAAAGTTCTTATCAGTTGTGCATATTGAAGTTGGGATATGCTTTATAATACTTTAGCAAAAAAAGTGGGGGACATAGTAGGGAGGAGGGTAGGGAAGAATTGTCTGTCAACAAATGTTGATAATTGTTGAAGCTGAAAACTGTTGAACTTACTAGGGCTGAGGTTGATTATACGATTACCTCTCTTTTTGCATATGTTTAACTTTTCCCATAAGAAAATGTTTTAGGAAAAATTATCTAGCTTTCTCCAACCTGGGTTGGTTGGTATAAGTTACTGATTGTGACTATCCCAAAAGTTGGTTCAACATTAAGGTAATGTTTGTTAGGAAAAAAAATTAGATCAACACATTATTTAGTATCCCAGGTTTTTGAGCATTCATTTAAAAAATTCACTATAATGAGAGATGATTATACATGTTTGTTATATTTCTGAGATGATCAATTTTAACAGGATTGGTGGTAATTTTTAAATCATAAACTGATAAAGTTTGATGACTGATAAATCTCCCCAATATATAGAAAATCTATTTAATTATTTTGTTTTCATAAGGGAACAACCTTGGTGGAAGGTACAGCTGTCTCTATGTACAAGGAGAAGCACATAGCTCACGTGTGCATCTGGCAGAACCCCCAGTACAGAGGCAAGCAGGTGCTGTTTTCCAATGACACCTACTTGTGTGTGTCCTAATACTATAGTTAGAAAATGGCTCAGATTTTTGAGTTGCTTTTCCCAGAACTCAAAGATCGTCTTCCTGTTTATCTTGGTGGAATGCCTATGCTATACTTGTGATTTTTCTGTTCTCTGTAACCTATTAAAACAAGATTGTCACAGATGGGGAAACAAGAGGTCATTAGTTAACAATCAGATATTTGATTTCTTGAGCAGAAAAGATACTCTGTTGTGTTTTTAAAAACATTTTTAAAGGAGAAATAGGGCTACTCCTTGGAAGGCAGATACTTGTTCACTGGGCTTTCCTCGAGAGTCAACACAGTCGTTTCTAAATTCATTTCCTCCTTCAACTCTGTTCTTGTAGTTAATATAAGCTTTGCCTCTTTTAATTCTTGTCAGTTCACAGTGGTTACTTCTTTATAGCTTAATACTGCCAGAAGAGCAAAGGGAAGCCAAATAGGTGGACAATTAGCTTTTGTCTAACTTGGTATGATATGGAGAGGAAAGCACTCTTTAATTCATTCTTCAGTTTCTAGAACAGTTGCTCTTGATTAGGTTAGGGGGCAGAAAAAACATTTGTAATAATTTCTGGCTTTGAGAGACACAAGCCTTTGTCTGCCCCAGAGTATTAGTTAACCCACCCAGTGCTCCTAATCATATATTAAGGATTGGGAAGGACATTCATTGCCTCACTCTCTGTTTCACCTTCTGTAAAACTGGTAGAATAATAGTACCCATTTCATAGCATTGTATGATGATTAAATTAGTTAGTATTTTTAAAATGCTTAGAACACAGATTGGGTACATAATAGCAAGCACCACGTGTGTTTATAAGATAAATTCCTTTGTGCTGCCTTCCGTTAAAGTTTAAATAAGTAAATAAATAAATTAAATAAATACTTGCATGACATTTTGAAGTCTCTCTACAACATCTGAGTAAGTGGTGGCTGCGACAATGCTACTGGAGTTCCAGAATCTTGTTGGTGCCAAGATTGTTCACCAGCATATGGTGTGGTGAAAACTCACTAACTTGCAATTAGTTCAGATTATTAAGCCTGAATAGGTGAAAATCCTGAAATCAAGGATCTTTGGAACTATTTGAAATCAGTATTTTATATTTGCCTGTTCTATTCATTAAAATGTTGCAAGTGTTCTATTTGATGGATTAAGTATATTTAGGATATACATGTTCAATTTGTGATTTTGTATACTTAATTGGAACAAGAAAGCTAATAAAGGTTTTGCTATAGGGAATCTATTCTTTTAAGTAAACTTCAATGAAAATGTATGACTAGAGCATATAGAGAGGTAAATAATTTGTGGACACACCATAGACTGAAATAGTAAATTTAAAAGAAATTGTTGGAAGAATCAAGTGTTTGTGGCATGAGTCCTCCTAGTAAAGTTCCTGCTCTTGTGAATAATTAAGCATCATTTATAATTACTACAGTAAAAGGAAGCCTAAGAAGTATTAGACTCTACTTGTATTTAAATTACACTTTACTAATTTATGTGTATGAAAGATCTTTTAAAAGCTTATTTTCATAAGCCATGAGATAACTCCTTTACATTTTAAGAATTTCTGAATTTGCTTGTATTTTATTAGTGCAAACGGCAGAGCTAGCAATTCCTTTTTCTGTGTTCCCATTCCATCCTCTTTTAGGAAACTCTGAACTCTGGATTGTCCTTGTTTACATATCTGTCTCCTGCACTGGACTATGTGTCTCTGAGTGTAGTATGACGAATTCATTTGTTTGTCAAGGATAGTCTAGCACATGGTATACTCTCAATACATTTGTTGAACAGACTAATTAGTAATGTCTGCAACAATGACATTTTACTATATTTAATAAAGCTCTGGGAAAGTAGGATACACATAAGACAGGTCCAGGTCTAAATTATTTACATAAACTTGGATTTTTAGTTCGGTTTGAAATTTGAAGATGTGAGTAGATTTAATCTCAGTTTCCCAAAGGATAAGCTAATTGGAATTACCATCCTCTTTCACTTGATTGGATCCCCAGAATGCCATTTACGGATGCAGCAGAATTTTTTAACAGTTTTAAATTCTGTATATTTGATGAAGAGGTTTTATATTTTTGGATTCAAGCCTCTTTTTAAACTTCTACAATGTGGTTTGCAATAATTCCTCATATCCTGCTTTTGAAATATATATTGCAGCTTTCGTAAGTTGGGAAGGTTATATTTCAAGGACTGAAGTTACAGTATACTCAAGGGGTACACAAGCCTAGCACCGCATTTTCCACAGAGTGTTCGATAAAGATTGTTAAACTCTAAATCACAGGCCTTTTAATTCTTAAGATAAATAGCAGCAGAAAGAAACATCTTTGGCTTATTTCTGGTAAGGTTTTTATGCTCTATAAAACAAAGAATTGTATTCATCCGCGCAGCACAGATTCTATTAAAAATAAATGTGAGAGTCGTTAATGTAGTACTGCTCATTTACCACCAAAATTCACTCTTCAGGAATAATTCCATCAGTTTAAATTGGATATTGGAATGAGCATTGATTACCTCATGTAATTTGGTAGCCCAAAATTTCTTCATGGAGTTTTGAAGTCAGCGGGATTTCAAAGGTTTTAATGAGTTTTTGATTTTTTTTAAACCCTCAAATTTCATTACCTTTAAATTAGGTTGAAACGGGCCGCAAGAGATTGGATTAATGCCATAGTAATACTTACTTTGTTCTTAACCATTTCAGGGTTTCTTGAAATAGAGACTGTATGGTGTAATGGAAAAAGCCTTGGAATCTGAGAGCCTGATTCCTGGATTCAGTCCCAGTTCTGCGTGACCTTGGACAAGTTACTTTACTTCTCTGAATTTCCGTTTCCTCCTCTGCAAAATGAGGATAGCAACAGCCACCTTGCAACCCTTACTGGAGCGCGCCCCTCACACCCCGCGCCTGCCTGGAGGAAGAGCAGCCATGATTACGACGCCGCCGCCGCTCCGCTACCCGCTTGCGGCTGGCGCCCTCCCCCAGCAGGTGTAGGCGCTGCCGCGCTGCCCCACGCCTTTCCGCCGCTCGCGGGCCTGCGCTTCAGCGTCCCGGAGGAGGCCGCTGCAGGCTGAGGTAGCGCACCGGCCTCTAGCGTCCCAGTCCCGCCCTGAGCGGAGGCAGTGCGGGCGACCCAGCTCGGAGGCCGAGGCCCGGCCCCACCGAGTGCGGAGGGGCGCAGCGGCCCCCGCCCCTCGGCCCTCCCCCCCGGCCCTTCCTCCGCCCCCTCCGCCCTTGCGCGCCGCCCTCCCGGGTCGCCGCGGGGCCGTGGTGTACGTGCAGAGCGCGCAGAGCGAGTGGCGCCCGCATGCCCTGCGCTCCTCCACAGCCTGGGCCGGGCCGCCGGGGAAGCTGAGGCGGCGGCAGCGGCCGAGGGGGCCGGTCTTGCGCTCCCCAGGCCCGCGCGCTTAAGTCCAGGTTGCCATTCGCCGCACAGGCCGCGTTCTCTCAGCCCTCGGCAGCGATGAGGCGCTGAGGCGGCTGCCGGCGCTGCGCCGGAGACTAGGACTCGGAAGCGGCCGGGCCGAGGGCGCGGGGTACCGGCCTCCCTGAGGCGAGGGTAGCGGGTACATGGCGCAGTAACGGCCCCTATCTCTCTCCCCGCTCCCCAGCCTCGGGCGAGGCCGTCCGGCCGCCACCCCTCTTGCTTGGCCGCCGCCGCCGCCGCTGCCGCCGCCGCCGCCGCCGCCGCCATGGCCAATGACAGCGGCGGGCCCGGCGGGCCGAGCCCGAGCGAGCGAGACCGGCAGTACTGCGAGCTGTGCGGGAAGATGGAGAACCTGCTGCGCTGCAGCCGCTGCCGCAGCTCCTTCTACTGCTGCAAGGAGCACCAGCGTCAGGACTGGAAGAAGCACAAGCTCGTGTGCCAGGGCAGCGAGGGCGCCCTCGGCCCCGGAGTGGGCCCGCACCAGCACTCCGGCCCCGCGCCGCCGGTTGCAGCGCCGCCGCCCAGGGCCGGGGCCCGGGAGCCCAGGAAGGCAGCGGCGCGCCGGGACAACGCCTCCGGGGACGCGGCCAAGGCAAAAGCAAAGGCCAAGCCCCCGGCCGACCCCGCGGCGGCCGCGTCGCCGTCTCGCGCGGCCCCGGGCGGCCAGGGCTCGGCGGTGGCTGCCGAGGCCGAGCCCGGGAAGGAGGAGCCGCCGGCCCGCTCATCGCTGTTCCAGGAGAAGGCGAACCTGTACCCCCCGAGCAACACGCCCGGGGATGCGCTGAGCCCCAGCGGCGGCCTGCGGCCCAACGGGCAGACGAAGCCCCTGCCGGCGCTGAAGCTGGCGCTCGAGTACATCGTGCCGTGCATGAACAAGCACGGCATCTGTGTGGTGGACGACTTCCTCGGCAAGGAGACCGGACAGCAGATCGGCGACGAGGTGCGCGCCCTGCACGACACCGGGAAGTTCACGGACGGGCAGCTGGTCAGCCAGAAGAGCGACTCGTCCAAGGACATCCGAGGCGATAAGATCACCTGGATCGAGGGCAAGGAGCCCGGCTGCGAAACCATTGGGCTGCTCATGAGCAGCATGGACGACCTGATCCGCCACTGTAACGGGAAGCTGGGCAGCTACAAAATCAATGGCCGGACGAAAGTAAGTGTGTGCTGCGGGTTTGTGCTGGACAGACCCTTCTCGGCGGGCAGCCCCTGCCTGCGACTGTAACCGCCTAGGCTGAGAAGCAGCATTCCTCTGTATAGAAGGGACTCGTTGTGTAGCACCCCGTAAGGAAGACGGACAGAATTTGTAGTGGCTGTTTATCTAGTTAGCCCCTTTGTGTCCGCTGTTTTCCACTTGCTGCCCGTTCACAAACTTCTCCGGCTAATTGCATGGTTTTCTGGCTAAACGTAGGCTCTTTAACTTTGCTATTTTCTTTCTTCCATTTCACTGTTGGTCACAATTCAAACCTTAGTGGCGTTTTAGCCACCCAGTGAGGGGGTGTTAGAGTACCACCCAAACCAAGTCCTGGTTCTGCATCTGCCTTGTGTTTGCATACGCTCTTAAATTTCCTATGGTGTCTGAACCACTCATCACATTTTGATTGAGAGTCAAACGCTATGTGCAGTGAAGAGTTTGCCGGCTGACCACAAAAAGGTAAATTTAAAATACGCATTTAGTCGAAAGACTGTCTATATTCAGGAAGAGCTTGGCTACTCCCCTCCCCCTCTTATAGCTCTTATCCCTCACCCTGTTCCTACTGTTTTGAAACCCTTTACAGAAAGGGGAAAGAAGTATTTCCGTTTTCAGACTTCTCAGTGTAGGTAGGCTACATTTTTAGCATAAGTTTCCTTTATTTGCTTTGTTAATGTAATCCTTCTGTTGAAAACTGTTTTGTAACTTCCTGGAAAAAACAAAACAAAACAAACAAAAACAACCACAACATGGAATTGGAGCAGGAGGCTCGTTTTATCCTCCCAATTTGGTGAGTTTTTGTTTTCTCTTTACCGTTGCGGTTTTTCCTCCACAGATTCTTCACTTCCTATCTAGCCTATTCCTAGCTCTTTCCTCCCTCATGATAAACAGTAGACTCTTTCCTCCTTAATACTCTCTTGCAGCTTTTTTTCATTTTACTTCTCAGATCTTGATCTTTTCTGTGTATATAGCTGCTCCCAGGCCAGCCTCCTTCACCATCAGGCTCTGTCTGATTTTGTGAGTTTTGAGAGATTGACCTGGGAGAGCATCACAGTTGCATGTTTGTACACACACGCTGACTCTAACCAGTGGCTCTTTTTTATGTGTGCTTCAGATCATTTACTTTGACAGTCATTACATGTGATTCTCAGGCTGCCCGAAAGGCTGAACATAGGCAGGGAGAAAGTTACAAACATGAAAATGTGGGGAAAAATACAATGTGAAGTCTGATTTACGTATTGCCACTTCATTGCTGGGTGAAGGCACAAGTCTTGATTTCTTGTAGTCTTAAAAAGGAACAGTTGAATAATATTAAACTGGAAGGGAAAGGGGGATCTGATGAAATCTCAGCCTTGGTCTTTCACTAGATTTGCGTTGATATTTTTAAGAAAGAACGTTGTCATGGATCACATCTGAACATAAAGTCCCGAGCTCCAGGGCAGGAAAGAAATTAGTTTGAGAGAATAGGGCTATGAAGACTGACCAAAGTATATCGTTGGACATAAGCTTAAATTGGATTCTTGAAGAAGATGATGTCCCAAATCTTTCTTGATCTGCTTTCCTTAGTTAATTTAGCTTTCCAAGTTAAGCTGAGACCTCTTTTCTCTTTTGTCTTCCTGCTTTCACCTGTCCTTAGAGAAGGGACAGCAGACAGCCTGGCTCTTACAGCAAATGCTTCTCATAGGGATGCTGTTAGAACTAGCTACCTCCTTCCTCAAGAGTTCTAGTTGTTGGGGTTTTAAGTCACCTAACTGTACATATTAGCAGGTAATAAGGGATGGGATGAAGGAGGGATGACCTTTAAACTCTTTGGATTAGATCTTCTGCTTATATTAATTTTAGGAACACAACTTCAGGATCTATAAATGATATTCTGGAATTCCTTTCATTATACTTCTTGGCCTAAAGAAGTTTTGGTAATAGTGTTTCAACGTGTAATTTAAATATTCCTTAAAAAACAAGGGTGTTTGCTTTGTGGAAATGAGAAGGCAGTCAAAATAACCACCCACCGTATATTGAGCAACCACAGTGTGTTAGGCATCAGATTAGGGTCAATAGAGATACATTCAGAGTAATTTTTTTTTTTTTTTTTTTGAGACAGGGTCTTCCTTTGTCGCCCAAGCTGGAGTACAAGGTGTATAAGCATGGCCCACTGCAGCTTCCACCTCCTAGGCTCAAGCTATCCAGCCACCTCAGCTTCCGAGTAGCTGGTACTGTAGGCACACACCACCACGCTCGGCCACATGAGAAAAAAAAAAGGTTTTTTGTAGAGTCAGGGTCTTGCCGATCATTTGATCTGGAACTCCTGGGCTCAGGTGATCCTCCTGCCTTGTCCTGCCAAAGTACTGTGGTTACAGACTTGAGCCACCTCACCTGGCCACAATAATCTTAATTCTATTAAGCGAGTCGTGTTACTCCTAATTTACATTTGAGGGATTTTCAGCTCAGACTTGGCTAAAGTCTACCACTTACCATAACCCTAGCTGGTGTTCAAACTTAAGTCATTCAGATATCAAACCCATGCTCTTTTTTTGCTACACTGGTTACACGTAGAACATTAAATGAGATGTAGATTACTTGGCACCCTGCTGGAACTGCAGTTTGATACATATATTTTGTTGAAAGTGGGTGAATAGCACTAGCTTTATATGTGAGTAATCATACTCTATGGTTGGGCTGTGTAAAACTTAATTAGGTGAGTGTACAATGTTTATTTCAGATAGCGGCTTAAAAGCCACTTTTGTATTTATCCACCTGAATTATGCGCCTGTCAGTATAACTGTTAAGAGATGTCAGAATATGGTTTTTTTATGTGATTGCAGAAGGAGATTTCTGAATTTTATCCTTCATAACATTATAGTGATTTTAAAAGTTATATGCAGCAAATGTGTAGTGTTTTTCTCATTTCAGCTTTCACAGCAGTAGGCAGGTGGGTTGTATTTTTTTTATAGATTAGAAAAGTGGGACTCAGGAAAGTTCACTTGTTAGAAATTCTGCAGCATATTAGGACTTAAATTCAGGTTTTCTGACTAAGAATCCGATGTTCTTTTTATTTACATCATCTATATTGCATGCTCTTTATGTCAGGGCGTGGTAATCAGATGATACATGATTGTCCGTGGCCCATTCAGCGTAGGCTTTGTTTTCCCCTGAATTTCTACTTCAAACATTCTTATCTGGCCACTGTTTATGCAGCTACTTTAAAAAAGGAACCACAAGGGAAAAATGAAGTAATACAGGAGAAAAACAGAAATGTAATTGTAGCCACTGATGTAACCAAGCTCCTGTTTCCACTTTCTCTGGTCTTTTGGGGATTTTCCCCTTTTTGCTGTTACCCTGCCCTTTGATCCTATATCCTTGCTTATGCTTGTTTTCATCAAGAAGACTCTCGATATCCAGTAGAAAGAAACCATAGTCTGCTGTTTTGTGAAGAGTAGTGTGCCTTGACTTGGGGGTACAGGAGTAAGAGGAATGCAGAGGAGTGAGGATCATGGGAAAATATTGAACTTTTCTGTTGGAGTTTCTTAGCCACTCTGAAGGAAAACATTTTCCTGTTAAAATAGAAATACTAGTATCAGATACATAACATTTTTGGAATTTAATCCAAAACTTCATCTGTTCCATTGAAACATACATAAAGAAAAGGAGTAATAAAATAGGTTAGGACCAATAAGCAGCAGATTATGTTACTAAGATTTTTCACTGTTACTGTAGTTAGTCAGCTGTGGCTGATTATGGCTTTTAAGAGCAAAGAATAGGATGAGGAAAATGCTGCTGTTTTATTATCACTAACAGAGATGTGGTGACAATCCTCTTAGATGTTAAAACAAAACTGACCCAGGAAGAGAGCCCTCATCAGTACCAGACCATGCTGGCAGATCTCAAGACTTTCAGCTTCTAGAACTGTGAGAAAATAAACATGTTATTTAAACCTAAATACATAACTAAACCTTTATCTACTTCTGCCATTCTCTTTATACACTTGGGATCCAGGATACACAAATTGAAGTTACTTGTTTAATGATTTTATAACTATGTCAGAATTTAAGTTAAAAGTGAGTTATTCGGTATGTAGAAAGGCTGAAAATAGTACAACTGCAGTAATTCTGCCAGCTATAAGGGACATGTGGACTGAGAGGGTAGTCTTAATAGATTGTGATCAACTATGTGCGAAAACATTTTGTACAGTGAGTTGATGTGTAGTTTACATGTAAACTACTTTAGTTCTAAAGGAATTTTATTTTACGTTAAAAGATTTTTTTAGGCTGGGCTTGGTGACTTACCCCTAAAATCGCAGCATTTTGAGGGGCTGAGGCAGGAGGATCGCTTGAGCCCAGGAGTTTAAGACCAGCTTGGGCAAATGTTGAGACCTTGTCTCTAAAAAAAATTTAAAAATTAACCAGGCATGGTGGTGTGAGCTCGTGGTCTCAGGTGGGAGGATCGCTTGAGCCCAGGTGACAGAACAAAACCCTGTCTCAAAAAAAAAATTTTTTTTTTTTTTTTTTATGTATGTAGCTCTTATCTACTACCTAATAATCCGCAAAAATGCCCACAGAGCCTTAATTACATGGAGGAGGAGGGGATAATAGAGATCATTTTAGCTTTGAAAGATAATGGATTCTGGGCCAGATGTGATAACTCACGCCTGTAATTCCCAACACTCTGGGAGGCTGAGGCAGGAAGATAACTTGAGTTCAGGAATTCAAGACCAGCTTGGGCAACATGGCAAGACCTCATCTCTACATTTAAAAAAAAAAAATTATTAAGAAAGAAAGGGGTCGGGTGCAGTGGCTCACACATGTTACCCCAGCACTTTGGGAGGCCGAGGCAGGCGGATCATGAGGTGGAGAGATCAACACCATCCTGGCCAACCAACATGGTGAAATCCTGTCTCTACTAAAAATACAAAAATAAGCTGGGTGTAGTGTTGCAAGCCTGTAGTCCCAGCTACTTGGGAGGCTGAG